GGCTCCTCCCTCAGATCTCGGCTCGAGTGTCAGCTCCCAGGGCTCCGTGCAGCCAGGCCCTGTCCCTGAGGGTTCCTGGGTGTCTGGGCAGAGCGCCTGCCAAGCCCCTGCACGTCACTGTGTGGTCCCACCGAGCCAGCCAGCTGCCCTCCACTGGCCCTGAAGGCTCAGGGCACAAAGGCTTCGCACCTGCCCTGGCCCACTTTCACAGCCCGGCCCCTGGGGACAGCCCCACCCGTGTCGAGCTGCACAGGGTGGGGGAGGGGTTCTGCACAGATGCCAGCACCCAGGGCCCGGCACCAGGTGGCGCGGAGACGGGACAGAAGTGCCTGGAAGGGCCCAGGAGCTCCCCTCGCTCATGGCACGGAGCACAGCCGGCAAGGCTCTGGCGCCCAGAACCCCAACCGCCCCAGCCTGTGCCCTGCCGCACCCTGGCAGGGGCCACCTGCCCCTCCCACCTTAGCCCACACCCCTGGGACCGGGTCACAGGAAGGACCCCACTGTGTAGAGAGAGGGAGGGAGGGAGAAGGGCCTGGGGCCTGGAGTTTGGGCCTCACCCTGGCCGGACGGCGTGCTGGGGATGTTGCTCGGGGAGTTGCACACCACGGCGTCACCCTCCACGCGGGCAGGGTGTGCCGGGGAGTCCCCGAAGAGGCACAGCAGCTTGTCCTCCCCCAGGGCCGGGAGCGGGCTGATGGTCAGCTGCACCTGGGGGAGGCCACGCAGCTCACATGGACCCCTCTGCCCAGCCTCGGGGGCGGGGGATCAGCCTTGGGGTTGGGGGACTCAGTGAGGAGACCCCCACCCAGAGCACCAGCCCTGTGATTCATTCCCCTGCACGTGCACAGAAGACACAGGAACCTGACTCGCCACCTCCACCGCCTGGGACACAGGAGCCACCAGACCACAGGGGCCGGGGCTGCCCGCCTCAGACTCAACCCCAAGGCCCAGGTGGGATGGAGATGCTGTGAGATCTCCTTCCCTGGTGCCCACGCCGGCCACGCACCTCCCCCTGGGCCCGCCGGCTCATGTTCTGGGGCTGGGCCCCCGTGACGGTCACACAGGACTCCTCGCGGCTCCACAGCCAGTGTCCGCTCTCCTCGGCCCGTGGGCACTCAGCCCTCCGGCTGCATCTGCAGAGACAGGGCAGCCTCAGCCCTGGCACTTGTCAGCCCCTGGGTGGGACTGCCGCCCCCGGGCTCCAGGGTGAGCCGAGACCCCCGACCCCAGGGACTCACCGCCCCTTGACGATGCACCAGCCGCAGTAGGGGTCCCGGGAGCCGAGGCACTGCATGCAGTTGAGGTAGCTCGAGCACTCCTGCACAGGAAGCCGGAACGCCTGGGGGCAGCGGGGCGGTGAGCAGGACCCGAGTTTCCTGGGGCCACTAGCTGGGTCCCACCTGTATCTCTGAGCCTTAAGAAGACTCAGATGCCACCTGGCTGGCCTGTGAACCATTGACCTATGAACCAGGAGGTCACGGTTCGATTCCCAGTCAGGGCATATGCCTGGGTTGCGAGCTCCATCCCCAGTAGGGGGTGTGCAGGAGGCAGCCGATTAGTGATTCTCATCATTGATATTTCTCTCTCTCTCTCCCTCTCCCTTCCTCTCTGAAATCAATAAAAATACATTTAGCCCTGGACAGTTTGGCTCAGTGGATAGAGCGTCGGCCTGCGGACTGAAGGGTCCCGGGTTCGGTTCCGGCCAAGGGCATTTACCTTGGTTGTGGGCACATCCCCAGTGGGGGGTGTGCAGGAGGCAGCTGATGGATGTTTCTCTCTCATCAATATTTCTAACTCTCTATCCCTCTCCCTTCCTCTCTGTAAAAAATCAATAAAATATATTTAGAAAAAAAGTCTCAGATGCAAACTCAAGGCCGGCCAACATGGGATCCAGGCAGCGGAGAGGTACTCGGCTCTGTGAGGCCCTGGCCCTGTGGCTGCACCCGCCCAGGACCCACGGCGCACGGTCCCAGGAAACCATGGGTCCAGGGTCCTGCCTCCCCGGTGCCGGCCCAGGCCCCTTGACCCCACCCCCTGGGAGAGGCCCTTGGATGCCCCAGGGCTCCAGAGGCCGGCTCGAGGGGCTCCTACCCCAGCCCCTTGATAAGGCGGGGCCTATGCTGTCCCTTCGCTGCCCAAGCTCACGGAGCTGCACAGGCCCCTGCATGCCTGTCCACCCGGGGGCAGCCCCTCAGAGCAGTCCCAGCCCTCCCTCCAGGAAGGGTCCGCGACAGGACGCTGCCAGGAGCCCGAGGAGAGGGCGGCCCCTCCCGGTCCTCCCGTGCCCCCTCCAGGCCCGGGACAGCGCTCCGGCCGCCAGGCCCTCCCCGGGGCCTCCGCAGGCCTACCTTGTCCTGGGTCATGGCGTACAAACTGGCCTGGTCGGCGGACAGCACCAGGTCCTGCTTGACCCTCTTGTTGATGTCCACCAGGATGGAGCCGTACTCCACGGAGCTGCCGTCGGGGGCCAGGTACGCCTGCGGCAGCAGGCAGGTGTGTGAGGGTGCTGTTCCCTTGGAGACGGCCCTCCAGCCCCGCCTGCCCCTGCCCCTGCCCCAGGCTTCACCTTGAGGACCTGGCCGTCGGAGGTGCCCAGGAAGGCAATGGTGTGGCCGTTCTCGGTGGCCACGGT